TCAGGAAAAATGCTTGTTGACTTTTTTTGGTTGCATGCACAGTTCTGAGCAGAAAAACATGATGTCACCTTTCGAGACACTCATTTTATCAGTGGGGACTTGAAAATGAAGTTAAAAATTAAGCAGCAGAGTCAAACCCAGGCTCTCTGCTCTGAGAATGTGGGGCCAAACCTGATGCTGTCTGACTGCCACGTGGCTAATTATTTATCCTTGTGAAACTCTGTGGAATTATTTGAAAGGGAGGAAGGGACGGAAACTTCTTCAAGTAGCCTTGTAGTCTAGGGCTTAAAATACTGGTTTAATGGCGAAGGTAAGTGTTTTTCTTCTTTTTGGGTCTGAGGATAATTACTAATCAATCAGAGATCCATTAAAGGGAGGGAGCACTTTGAGGGGAAGTCAGAGGAGCACCATGAAAGCGGCCTAAGGATTCCCGTCTGGGAACGGTTTCTGGCTTCAAAATGAAGAAGAGACTTTCTAAAACGTGCAATCAATTCAATCGATACTCTAGAGCACGGCTTGAGAGGCCACCGATGTCCATGGACACTGGACAGTGGTCCCTTCTCTGGGGATTCTGTATTAACTGTGGCACCTTGAGGAGCTGGGTGGGTTTCACTGTGGGATAAAATGCTGGATCAGAACTAATAAGGCTTGGATTTGGGGACTGTGACTGATGAGTCTTTTCAGATTGCCACGTATATTTGAAATGATGTCTCAAAAAAAAAAGGCGAATAGGAAGTTGTGAATAAGATAAAAGCAAGAGAACGTACATGCTTGTGGAGCTCACCTGGCTCCTTGCCCTCAGAGCTCAGGGAAGATGCTCAGAGAGACCATGATGAGCACCCACAGGTGCTCCGATGGGAAGCTCTTGGTGAAGACTGAAGAAGGTGCCTTCTCCCAACCTGCCAGAGAAGGTCCCTAGTCCAAAGCACGGTTGCCCTGGAAGGCAAGCCTGAGGTTGTCACTTGGAGGAAAGGGTCAAGGGGAATCTTGCACATCTCCTGGCGAGCCGAGCCGTGAGTCCCCCAAGGCACTGACCCAACTGCGCTTGATTTTGGCGTTACTCTGCTTTCTAGGATCACCCACTCTTGGTGCTTGATACGGTTTTTCTTTTTCTTTTTCTTTCTTTCTTTTTTTTTCGCGATTAAATCCATAAGTGAATTGACCGCATGACATAAATTACCTACTGGAATAACCAGTTTTACTTCAGCCCTACCGATTTTTCAGAAAGGTAGGGGCAGGTGACACAAAGGGGCCTCAGTCTTACTAACATGGAAGAAACCGCTTCTTGTTCTCTGATGTTCTCTGATGTTCTAGCAAGATGCATCCCTTATTCTCCCATCTCGTGGATTCTAGTAGAAGAACCCACTTAAATGTTTTGTTTTCTTTATTTGAGAGAGAGAGAGAGAGAGAGAGAGAGAGAGAGAGCAAGTGGAGGAGAGAGGGGCACAGGGAGAGAGAGAGAATCAATCCCAAGCAGGCTTCAGGCTCAGCAGGGTGCCCGACGCGGGACTCAATCCCACAACCCTGGGATCATGACCTGAGTCAAAACCAGGAGTTGGACACTCAACTGGCTGCACCACCCAGGCGCCCCTGGAAGAACCCACTTTCCAAAGGAAATGTTTAAGACCAGTTTAATGATGAATCAGAAGCACTTCTCCAGAAATGCATAAATCGGGACTGATTCACCTGAGAGGTCCCGAGTGCCAATCTGATGCCTGTTTATTATTATTGCTGTAGTTAATGTCAATAACCATTTACAACGTACATTTTACAATCAGAAGGCATGCTTCAGACCTTTTTTTCCACTCACAATAGTCCTGTGAAGTAATGTTAACCCCATACTTCCTGATTGTTTCTATTTCGTATTCAATTAAAGCTCCCCTAGTGTATGAAATTGTGAAAAAGCTGAAAGACTTTGAAAACCGTGAAAAAGCTGAAATGAAAAAGCTCAGCTTGTGAATGGCAGAGAAGAACGTAGTCCCTGGATACCCTTTGAACCACAGGTTCATGCTCTTTCAGCCACATGTAACATTTACTCTGAGCAAACTGGGGGATTGGACTAACAGAGATGATGCAAGACAGGCTGGGGATTAGGGGAAATCTAAGCAATCGAAAGACCACTATAATGAAACAGTGAGTTCCAGGCTGAGACCAATAGGAAAAAATGATTCTTTTGCTTAGGCCTAAACCATATTGTCTACGTTGTTAATTTTATATCAAATACAACTCAATATTGTATCATGAAATTATTTTTATTTTTTTTCAATTATTTTTAACATTTATTATTGAGAGACAGAGAGACACAGAGCGTGAGCAGGGGAGGGGTAGAGAGAGGGAGAGACATAGAATCGGAAGCAGGCTCCAGGCTCTGAGCCATCAGCACAGAGCCCGACGCGGGGCTCGAACTCACAGACCGCGAGATCATGACCTGAGCCGAAGTCGGTCGCTTAACCAACTGAGCCACCCAGGCGCCCCGCATGAAATTATTTTTAAAAGATAAGACTTTCGTTTCATTTCTTTTCCATTTTCCTATATCTACTTATAGTTTTGCCTCTGACTCACAAGGTTTTAGAAGTGTCACTGTGGAATGGAGGGTCCTCAGCCATGCTTACAATTGGACCCAGACTCAAACCACTGTCTCTGAGCGCCTATCGGTCGTGACAAGGCACAGATCCTGTCGTTTCACGGGCTCCTGCGATTACTTTAGGAAAATCGTTTCCATTACTACGTCCCGAGAGCCCCTAGGCTACAGTGGTTTGGGAGGTCTGCCCGATTTCTCTGTTTGTCTCGTGCAAAGGACACAGGAAGTTCACAACTGAAGTCAGCTATTGAGACAAAATTCAAAACAGCCTGTGAAGTTGTGTAAGCTAAGGTGGGGTGGCAACAGATACAAGGGAAAGGAAGGTTTGTGGCAGGATTGTACTAACAAAAACAGCAAGAAAAGGCAGTCGTTTTTATTCTTTTAACTATTCGAAGCTCGACTGGAAAGTATTTTCACCATCAAATGTCCTTCTTGAAGAAATGACTAAAAAAAGGAAAGCCATGTAACTTCCCCTGTGGAACCCTCCCGAAAGAGCCTACCCTACTGCATTCTAGGCTGTGCGTAAAATATGAGCATATAGGGGAAGTGGCTCTAGCAGACAGAGGCAGCAGCAGGCTGGGCGTCAGGAGACCCGTGCTGCTCTGTGACCTACGTGGCCTGTGTCCACTTCTCGGACTTCCCACACAGCAGTTTTCTCAGCAGCACGGTGAACAGTTGGGCAGAAGATCTCGGAGCGTCTTTCACCTCTAGGGCTCGGGGCCTGCAGGACTCATCAGAGCGGTTGGTGGGGAATCTGTAGCTGGGGTGTGATGACTCTTGGTTACACGTACGGTGAAAAAGTTGCCTTCAGGCAAGTCTTGGGATCTTACATACCAGGGGAAATCAGACACAAAGTGGTCCAAACTCTGGGTAAACGAGGCGTCCATTCCATTTTGCTTCAGCTAGGATCTGAGTGAAACGCACTGACCGGGGCTCCTGATCTCAGCCAGATGTTTGCAAGGCTCGTAAGCCCTCCACGGCAGGACGAAAGCCAACATGATTCCTGGTGCTGACCTTCTCTTGTTTAGCAACTGGGCATCCATCTAGGTCCAGGTAAACAAAAAAGAAAATTTCAAAACTTAGATGGGCAGATCTTATTCTTAGAATTCAGGAGACACTTGGCGAGCAGAAGACTGTCCCGTCTGTGTTACTGGAGGCCCAATCATCGATCTTTTCACACTAGCGGCTTCTCGGTATAACACGAGTGTCTACAAGTTGTAAAAAAACAAAACAAACAAACAGCAAAGGCACTTAGCAGATATGGAAAATCCTTTAGAATAATGTGACCACCGTGTCCCATAACCCAGAATTAGCCACTGCTGGCGCTTATGTGAACCTGCCTCTCTTTCTGGGGACGTGCAGCTATCAACACGGGCGCGAATGATGGGGGGACAAAATTCTTCATCTTCTCATTCTTTATGAGCCTCTATCCTAAAGTCATAGGTTATGAACATCCCTGAGGGTGCAGACAGGTCTTGTTCAATTTGTGTGCAGAAAGAATGCAAAGTTTTGAGCGATGAAATATAAGCATGATCCAGTATTTGTAAAATTTAGGAATGGCTGCCATATTGACAGCGATCTCAGGATGAGGATTGTTCCTAAAGGAAATCAATGTATGTATCCACCGAGAGAGTTTGATTGCTATATGAGTATCAAATTTGGGGATCATGAATTCTCTTTTCCTCTCAACATAACTGGATATATTTGGAATTGTAGTAGAAAGCCTCACTCAGTGTGATTTTACACACGGTTTGAAAAACTTTTCAGCCCAAGAAAGTGTCCAAATTGTGTGTAGTAAAGGCAACAATGAACATTTTAGAGCCTCAAAGGTAATACACGTTAAGTGTTATGCAATGTCCCCCTTCCTATTCAGAGAAGCCACAATACAGCATCGTTCTGGTTGTACAGAAGGGATGGCAACATGATCATAAGGAGAGAAAGGGCTATTCTGGAACTTTCTCCCCAGCTCCTGAGCTTTATTTAACTTTCCTGTCCTCTGACCCACCTTAAGCCGCAACACGCCTCGCCTTTGGTTCTCTGTGGCTTGCAATTTTCTCATTCAATTCTTGTGGCACACTCCAGAAAGAGGCTTACTCTTATAAGAATGAATGGTTGGAGAATTTAAATGACGAGGCTCTAAGTCACATAGCTGGTGCTTACAGCTGGATTTTCTTGTAAAAACTGAGTTTTCCATTAGCGTAAAAATCAAGAAGCATGCTCAAAATGTCAATCGTATAGCCATGTTGGATCAAAACTTTTACCGGTGCTGAGAGAGGACCACGTTAACATGAGACAGTTATCTGTGTGCCGTGTTTCGGATTGTTGTTCACTCCGTAGATCAAAACCAGTCGTGGCGAAAGAGATTCGGGGCAGAGGGAAAGTCCACCACAGAGACTACCACTGCCTCCAGAGGAGCCAAATGGACAAGAAGCCTTCGCCCAAGAAAGGTAAATCTTCTCCATCAAGACTACTTGCTGGAAGGCTGGAAGCTTATCTCCACGGCTCTTTTTCCTCTCTTTCTCTTCCTGTTTTCTTTTCCTTTCTTTTCCTTCTTTCCTTCTTTCTTTCCTTCTTTCTCTTTCTTTCTTTCTTTCTTTCTTTCTTTCTTTCTTTCTTTCTCTTTCTTTCTTTTTCTTTCCTTCCTCCCTTCCTTCCTTCCTTCCTTCCCTCCTTCCCTCTTTCTTTCTTTCTTTCTTTCTTTCTTTCTTTCTATCATGTCACCCATTATAAAGACTCTCTGAACAACATTGGACCAGCTCTGGCCCCTCATCCTGTTACCCGTTGCTTTTTTTTAGGGAGCCCCACTGAGTTACCTCTTAGAAATCAAGACAAATGCCCAACAGATCCTGGGACGTAAGGAACGGAATAAGTCTTGAAAAAGTCATTTTAAACAACTTGTGCATGAATTCCTGCCATGATGTGATTGCCAAGCGGCTTTGGAATCCTCCAGTGGCATGGAAAGATGTCCTTCGCAGGCAAACAGTCCTATCACTGAGGCTGTTTGGCCATTACAAATGATTTCTTTCCTTACATTTTTATCTGTTCACAGGCCCTCTTTTTGGTTCTCTTTAGTTCCATTTCTCCAAATCTACAGAAGAGATTGAATCCATCATTTGCTTGGGAACCCTTGCAACATTGGTCCCTTGTTGCGTTTTGTGGGGACTTTTAAAGAATGTGTTGCTCTTGTAACATATTGAATACTGGCCTGTTGCCATATCACCTCCAAACTCAGTAAAAGTGGCCCTTAGTTAGTTAGTTATTTCTTTCTTTTTTTTAAATCTTTATTTATTTTTGAGAGAGGGACAGAGTGTGAGTGGGGGAGGGGCAGAGAGAGAGGGAGACACAGAATCCGAAGCAGGCTCCAGGTTCTGAGCTGTCAGCACAGAGCCCAACACGGGGCTCAAACCCACAAACTATGAGATCATGACCTGAGCTGAATTCGGGCACTTAACTGACTGAGCCACCCAGGAGCCCCGCTGTGTTAGTTCTTGAAAGCTGGGCATACGTGGAGGCAGGGTCTAGTGACATGACAAAGGTGTTTCCAAGTGAGCGTCACATTCAGGAGTCGGGGATGGGGGGTGGGGGGCGGTGCTCGTTTCCACACACACTATCTCAGATATTTAAAAGTGAATCCTTGGGTGTTCCGTCAGCTTCTTTCAAAGGCAGCTCCGTGGTAAGTACAAAGCTCCCAGCTTTAAGGTAAATGTATATGCAAAACGGACAGGACCTCTGACTCACAGCTGGGGCACCGGTTTGACCCCCCCCCCCACCGCCATCTTCCCCCCTCCCCCACTCACTTTGCTGGGGACAATATGACATAAGCGCCCTCCCTTAGACTTTCCTACAGTTACCATCTGCTTCCCACACCTCTGGAAAAAGGTTGTATTTGCTTTGCTTGACTGTAAGAGCCCAGACTCATTGTCTTGAAGTCAATTTAAGAATATGGCCAAGGAGCACCGTAGTCATGGTTATTTTGGCAAGAGAAGGCAGTGGGGCAGAGCAAGGGCCCTGTTGTTTTCCACGTGTAGTCGTGGGAGAAACGGAAAGACGGCGGCCTCGGTCAGGATGCTCAGTGCGTCCTTCCGTATTGTCTCTTAGCTCCAGGTTTCTGTTCCTTACGGTATGGACTGGCTCTCATCATGCACTTCTCAAACTTCACCATGATAACCCAGCGTGTGAGTCTGAGCATTGCGATCATTGCCATGGTGAACAGCTCTCAGCCGCATGGTCTATCCAACGCCTCCGCAGAAGGACCTCTGGCAGATACCCTCAGCAACCCCAGCACATCCATCAAGGAATTTAACACAGGGGTAAGTATATCAGCATTACTTCCTGCTTATGGGTCTCTGAGTTCTCTTTGGGCCAGCTGTAACAGCTTACCAATTCCTTCTTCGTCAATGAGTTAAATAAAATGTTTATCACAGGATTGTAGAAGAATCAGGATTATACCCTATTGTTAAATTTTTTCCTTTAAACTATCAATTACTGCAGGGTTGTTTTTTTTTAATGTTTATTTACTCTCGAGAGGGAGAGAGACAGGGTTCGAGTAGGGGAGGGGTAGAGAGAGAGGGAGTCATAGAAGCCGAAGCGGGCTCCAGACTCCAGCTGACAGCACAGGCCTGATGCGGGGCTCGAACCCACGAACTGTGAGATCACGACCTGAGCCGAAGTCAGACGCTTAACCGACTGAGCCACCCAGGTGCCCCTTACTGTAGATTTTTGATGTCACCTTTGTATTTCATGATTGTATTACCTTGGACCCAGCTTATTTATAATGACCTCTCTGCCTCCAGTCTTTTTTCCATCACTCATTCTACACATTCACATTCTTGTGCTCAAGAATACAAGACAGCTTCGGGGTGCCTGGGTGGCTCAGTTGATTAAATGTCTGACTTTTGATCTCTGCTCAGGTCATGACCTCATGGTGGTTAAGACTGAGCCCTGCATTGAGCCCCACATCGGGTGTGAAGCCTGCTTAAGATTCTCTCTCTCCTTCTGTCCCTGTCCCCTGCTCAATACCCTTTCTCTCCCTCTCTCTTGACGTGCCGGGCTCCTCCAAAAATCTGGTCCCACTTCTCAGCACACTCAGATCTGCTGTCAGTGGCCCAGGGAAGGTCCTTGTTCTGAGCAGCTCAGAGTCCTGGTTAGTTTCTCAGCATTTGGTTTCACTCCAAATGCTACAAGTTTACTTTCGCTCTTCAACAAAAATGACTTTTCCTATTTCTCTTTGTACAAATCATAATCATCCTTCAAAGGGTGGTCCAAGCATTGCTTCCTTCCTGGGACCTTTGCAAATTGTTTTTGTCTCTTCTCAAATTTCTCTTTGTCTCTTCAATTTATAGCATGATGCCACAAGCCTAGTAGGCTGCCAAAAATTATTTATTGGCTTACCTCATAAGAAGAATGTGATCTCATTAACGTGCAGTGCATGTTTCAGGAAGTCATCTCTGCCAGGGCAGACCATAATTCCTCAACTTGATTTTAAGGACAGATTTTGATGAGAATTCAGGGAAGTTGTGCTTTCCTAATATTTTTGAAATAGAAGTCAACATGTCACTGAACTTTTCCCGGAAGCACACAGTTAAAGGAAACTCTTTCTCAGGTGAAATCTCTCTCAATGGCTGTTTTTCATGCACCTCTTCTTACCACGTAATCATTTCTTTATCTCTTTCCTTCTTCATTTCCTTTGTTTTTACTCTTCCTCTGAAAGGAGCAAATTAGGGGTATAATTGGTTGCACGTTTGGAAGAGGTGGAATATTTGCTAGGTAACAAATACAGATAAGTAGATTTTTATACCAGGATCCCACCAACCCAAGCAGCACTGGTTTTAAAGTCGGTTTTTGCAGGGCACCTGGGTGGCTCAGTCGGTTGAGCTTCGGACTTCAGCTCAGATCATGATCTCACCGTTCGTGGGTTCCAGCCCCGCGGCGGGCTCTGTGCTGACAGCTCGGAGCCTGGAGCCTGCTTCGGATTCGGTGTCTCCTTCTCTCTCTGCCCCTTCCCCACTCACACTCTGTCTCTCTCTCTCAAAAATAAATGAAGATTTAAAAAAATTTTTTTAATAAGAAAATAAAGTAGATTCTCACAAAAGAACTTCTTAGCGAAGCATTTTCTTTTTTTCCGCCCCCCAGGCCTCTGTATATGAATGGAGCCCAGAGACTCAGGGTATCATCTTTAGCTCCATCAGCTATGGGATAGTAGTGACTCTGATCCCAAGTGGATATTTGGCAGGGATATTCGGAGCAAAACAGATGCTTGGTGCTGGTTTGCTGATCTCCTCCCTCCTCACCCTCTTTACACCGCTGGCTGCTGACTTCGGAGTGATTTTGGTTATTGTGATTCGGATGATCCAGGGCATGGCCCAGGTATCCAGATACTTTCTCGTTCGGAGCGGGACACAGGTACCTGAACTGTACTAAGACCGAAGGTCTTAATGATGTTCATTTCAGGGCATGGCCTGGACAGGTCAGTTTACCATCTGGGCAAAGTGGGCTCCCCCACTCGAACGAAGCAAACTCACCAGCATTGCGGGGTCAGGTAAGGATATACACGTGCATTAGAGCTGTGGAATCGGCCTCACCCAAACGCGTCTTTCCTTCTCTGCCTGGGATGTCTGGGGTGGGGACGGGCAGGAGAAAGTGCCACCGAGAGATTGAACAATGTGAGACGGTTACATAGCCTCTGTAAGAGAGAGCTACCTCGGCGCTGTAAAGCCACTGGGGTTTAGAAGCGGCTGTGAGCTGGGGTAGTCAGAAACGCATTGTGGGAAAACGTTTGGAACTTGGGTCTGCATAAATGTAAGACCATCAAGTAAATTTATATAATACTTACCTAATGGCGCTGAAACACCATTTCAGCAAAGACACACAAGCGGGAATTAAGACGAGCAGATTTCACAGCAGTAAGGAGAGACAGACATCAGCCTGGAAAGGAGAGTCTGAAGAGCCCAAGTGATTCTGAGCTCTTTGCTGTTCTGGGCTAATCTTCACAAGTGTCTGACCATTAAGTACGTTGTAAGCTCCCATGTTACCAAAGAGGGAATTAACCCGTGCGGGAGATCGCGTGAATTGTCCACATGCGAACCGCCAACGGGTGGCCAGAACGGCTGCGCGTGAGCCGATGACGGGACTCCAGGACTTTGCTGCCGACGACATGCGCCCTAACGGGGGGCAGAGGCATTCCCTGGTGTTCAGGGAGCCACGCTGCAGTGTCAGGAGGCGCATCAGTATTGTTGATCCATCCCAGTTACTCCACGTGGCTGTCCCGGGGGGGACCCGTGAGCGGGAAGAGAGGCTGTCCTCACGCAGTAATTCTGAGTCGGCCTCCTCGCTGCCGGGACAACGTCCAGGGAGAACACTCAGTCTTGTCGTAAGTGTTTCTTCTCCCTCTTCTCCTCAGGGGCAGCGTTTGGGTCCTTCATCATCCTCTGCGTGGGGGGACTAATCTCCCAGGCCTTGGGCTGGCCGTTTATCTTCTACGTCTTTGGTGAGTCCCTTTCCCTTCTGTCCCGAGCGCCCCGTGTCCCAGCCGTTCAGCGTGATGCCCACGTTCTCTGTCCCCCGTGCCCACAAGAGAGAACGGGCCCTTTGTGGAACAGAAGGTGACGAAGGCCGCCGAGGACCGGTGGCTCCCTTACCCCAGTCTAGGAGATGACACTCCGCGTGGGGCTGGCCTCTGAGGAATGGGGAGCACGGCCTTCCGCTCCCACCCCTGGCGTCTTCTGCAGACTCTCCGCCACCGTGTCCGAAATGCCGGCTCTAGTTGCCCCGTGGTTGGCACGTCAATGTCACTGAGAGTTGGCGACACACACCTGAAACGCGTCTTCGTATTTTATTACAGTTGCGATTACTGCAAAGATGCTTTGACCTATTCTCTGCCAGGCAGATCTTGCAAAGCTCGATTTACTCACGCCCCCCTAGGGAGACCTCCAAGCCTTATCCTGTCGGATGCTGTCTTCCTGCCCTCTGTGGTGCTCACTGATAATTCCCTCTCTAGGCTATGCTGGCACACACTTATCTATTTGCCCCCCGTCCCTCCCCACGAGACTGTGAAATTGTGAGGCAAGGAATCTATTCCATAATTTTTTTTTTTATCACTTTGATACTATCACAGTGCCTGGCTTCTTGCTCGATAAATAAAAGAATGGACGGATCCCGTCATTAGAGGGAATTTAAAGAACATTAGTCCCCAGAGACTGTTAACATCCAACCTTCTTCCAATGACCCATCTCAGCCACGAGACACAGGCCTGTTCTCTTGTTCTGACCAAAGGATGCCATCCAATACGGTTCTGGCTTGCAAGGCTTCCTCACTAATGATGCTAATCCCGGGTCATTTCTCTCTGCACGTGTTAATCACGTACCGTCAAGGAATATTTCTTCCGGAAATCCCTAACGGATGCATTGTTTGAATACAAATAACACCGTCTTTTGCAAATATGCCAGAAACTTGGCCTCGCCCCACCGATTTTCTGGCAGGTGGTTTCATGTATGTATGATTCCTGTCTTCTTCAATCCTGACTGTTCACATCTTCCAAAGTAAGACAATACTGTGTGTCATAAGAAAAACTATAACTACTGGGGCCCTAAGAGTAATTAACCAGCTGCGCAGTGGTACAATCCCCCCCGCCACCCCCCCCCCGTGTTCTCTCCAGACGGCTCTGACATTGACAGATGGCGCTCTGTGCTTGACAGGTGGAGACTGGAGAGCTTTTTTTTCTTTTTAGAAGAATTTTTTTTTAGAAGAATTGAAATAAGGAAAGTTTAGGTCCTTTGGTGGAATAAGCAAGAACTGATAAGCGTGTTTTGAGGGAGAGGCGTGCCATTTCGGAGGACACCCCCGTCCCCCAGCATACAAATCTACCTGAAAATTAACTGGGTCCCGGCTTCCCAGGTAGCATTGGCTGCGTCTGCTGTCTCCTGTGGTTCACAGTGATTTATGATGACCCCACGCATCACCCATGCATAAGCGTCCGGGAAAAGGAGCACATCGTGGCCTCACTGGCTCACCAGGTACAGTGCACCCCTCCTACCTGTGGCCCGTGCAGAGGTACCTAGGGCGGCGGTGGGGCTCACAGGAGAGGTCCCCTCGGGGCTGTTCCAACCCCAAGTTGACGAGATATTTCCTTTCAGTCCAGTTCTCCTAGACGATCTATCCCCATAAAGGCTATGGCCAGATGCCTACCGCTTTGGGCCATTTTCACGGGGTTTTTCAGCCATTTCTGGTTATGCACCATAATCATAACATACCTCCCGACCTACATCAGCTCCGTGCTCCACGTTAACATCAGAGATGTGAGTATACTTCCGGTCCTTCTGGGGAAATGGTAACGGCAATGAGGAGAAACGGCTCTGTGCTGCCCACGGCATCCTGCCCTTGCACGTAACCCCTCACACAACCTTCACGATGACCTTGAGAGAGGCATTGTAATGACTGCCATTGTATGGACACGGGGACACGTAGACGTAAGATGATGGGCCTCGGCTTACACGACCGCTGACTGGCAGATCTGTGCGACACGGCCACACGGGCTGATTCCTCTGTTTCCCTTAGAGATTAATGTTACTTTTCTCCGGACACCACTGTAATGCAGCGTGAGTGGCCCTCTTCCCTGAGACGGCGTTCTTCCCCTGTGGAAAAGGACACTAGTTCCCTGAAAAAGACTCGAACGTCCGTGGGGTGGGCTCACGGCACCCGCCTGCCTGAACCTCCCTGGTGCTCCATGCACGTCCACACTCATGGAACACGTTTCCTTCCCTCAGAGCGGGGTTCTGTCATCCCTGCCCTTCGTCGCTGCTTCAAGCTGCACGATTCTAGGAGGCCAGCTGGCAGACTTCCTTCTGTCCAGGAATCTTCTCAGACTAATCACTGTCCGAAAACTCTTTTCATCCCTAGGTAAGGGCCGGGGCAAGGGCTTGGTTAACTGATCCTTTTTCCCACATGTGGTCTGCGAGGGTTCCTGACGCTGTGACTTCATCGTCCAGGGCTCCTCCTCCCGTCTCTGTGTGCCGTGGCCCTCCCCTTCGTGGCTTCCAGTTACGTGACCACCATTATTTTGCTGATACTCATTCCTGGGACTAGCAATCTGTGCGACTCGGGGTTCATCATCAACACCTTAGATGTCGCCCCCAGGTAGAAACTTACACCTGTTTGTTCCCCTCGTGCACGGTCTTCCAGAGGTGCTAGGCCTCAGTCCCCCTCTTGCAACTCCTTCCCGTTATGACACGCGCAAGACGACAGAATGATAAATGATGACAGCTAACTGGAAAGGTCACTACGTGGCCACGACCTAAGGCATTTTAGAGCAACAGGTGCCGACCTTGGCCAGTATTATTCAGATGAAGAGCTTCCCAAGCCTCCCCACCCGAGACTAAACCGCGTGCCCTGGGAAAGGGCCCGCACACATGTGTTCTGGAAAAGCTTTCAGAGCTGATAATATTAGCTCCCTCAACTGTATGCATTTGCCATGAGCCAAGCCCTACTCGATAGACATGTATATCGACACATCTGATCTCACAACTGCATGGGGTAGGCCCTATTGTTGTCCTCACTCTAAATCATGATTTTTTTTTTTTTA